AGGCCTGGTTCTTCTCATGACTCATTTTTTCAAAAAAAAAAAAAAAAAAAAAAAAAAAAAAAAAAATAAAAAAAAAAAACAAAAAAAAAAAATATTAAATTAAAAAAACAAAAAAAAAAAAAAAAAAAAAGTTTAGAAATTTAAAATAAAAAAGCGAAGTTGAAATTACGTTCACGTAATATTTAATCAGATATTCGCGATTTTAACATTGTGTGCGACAGCGTAGAAGGGTAAAGAGAAGTCAACCTTATTTCTTTCGGAACACAGTCAAACGTTGGCATCGAACTTGTGAACGAGCAAGAAATTGGTTGGTTGATCTTTCTAGTCTTTAATCTGTTCGCAGGGACATTCAATAGCAGTATGTATTGGAAGTATCGAACTGTGTTTATTGGAAGTATCGAGCTGTATTTATTGGAAGTATCGAGGTGTATTTAATGGAAGTATTGAGCTGTATTTATTGAAAGTATCGAACTGTATTTAGTAGGTCACTTTTGGAGAGAAAACGCATTTCAAATAAACGCCAGAAAAATGAGCATTTTCTTGTATTGTATATTGAGATAGAAACGATTTTAGAGAAATCTTAACTTGAAGAAGAAAAAAAAAAACATAATGTAAAAAAAAAAAAATCACTAGAGTTACATGCAGTCATTCATAGGATAAAATTATATTTCGACTTAAGAAACGTTGAGCCTAGGTGTGAATTTTTCTACGAAGGTATTATAAGGAACGCGCCTGTCTTTAATCCGTCATGGACTAAAACTTGATTCTCTCATGTGTGTGTGTGTGTGTGTATGTTTGCGTGCACACTACTGCGTTTGGTCATGTATGTACTTGTGTGCGTGTGTGTATGTATGTGTGTGTGTGTGCGTGTGTGTGTGTGTGTGGTCATGTATGTACTTGTGTGCGTGTGTGTGTGTGTGTGTGTGTATGTTTGCGTGCACACTACTGCGTTTGGTCATGTATGTACGTGTGTGCGTGTGTGTGTGTGTGTATTCGTATTGATAAGTTTGATAGGTAATTTTCGTTTCAATGTTTAGTCTTGTTAAAGTTTTGAGCCTGGCTCCAATATAATACACTTTACCTTTATTTAACACCCCCCCCCCCTTCTTGAAACCTATCGTTAATCTTTTATCTGAAGGCTCCATCTCTCTCAGCCCGCGCTTCGTCGAAAAAAATAAAAACTATGAGTTGTCAAATCCCATAATTTCTTTTGGTGTGACTTTATTCGGGAGTTGTACCCCATTCATCAATGTAAGAAATGATGAGCCTATAATTGCTGGGAAATTTTCTGCAAATCCTTTTCACAATTTCCTCAATTATTTTATTTATTTGTTTAGTCTTTTAACCACTCTTCAGCCTCCAAAAGTCATTTCACTTGACATTACAATAACCGCATTTGTCAATATTAAAAAATTAAAGAAAAAAAAAAAACCTCTTCTTATTTTAAATATTCGAGAGTTGTCAGGTCGTCTCCGTTCCACCCAGGAATCTGCTCACACTCACAGCCCCCCTCTCCCCCCCCCCTACCCCAGATCTCCGCCAGTGTTAACGGGGCCTAAGCAAACTTTCATCCGGCGCTTGTCCGCGGGGTTATACATCACACCATCAACAGGCTCGCCACGGATTACCCGGGAGTTTATTTGTTGATGTAGTTCTGTTTGTTTGTTTGTCTGTTGGGGGGCGTTAAGTCTGTCTGAAACTGAGAAGCCATCGGCGGTTATTTCTCACACTGTAGCCTCAATGAACTGCTGGACTTTAAAAAAAATAAAAGAAATATTTAAATAAGCAACTAAAGATGCAAGTCTTAACTTGAGATACCAAAAAAAAAAAAAAAAAAAAAA